ATCCGTTGCCGGACACGGAAAAAGACAAAAAAAAAAAGAAATAGTCTTTCAGGGTAGTATTAATTTCATTACTCTATTAATGAAATTGAAAATCCTTTCCTATGCATCAATTGTATCTGTAATGTTTTATTTATTTTTTAAAAATTAAGCAAGTATAAAAGAATGTTAGGATTAGTTGCATGGTATTGTTAAAAAAATATTCTGACACTTGTTAAAATGGAAAGGGAGACTTTTCACGACTATTGCAATAAAAGCATTGTAATAGGGGAGAGAAATAGGGCTCAACTTGGACTACAGCAAGGACAACTGGGGATTTATAACCAACACAGCAGAGTGAGGACGGTCAGTGGATGTACTAAGAGGAGTCGTCAAGGGTAGTAGGATTCTTGCTGAAGGCAGGCTAAGGGCTTATACATCAGTCAAAGGTGGAGAATGAGGAATTGGATCAGATATCAAGGGTGGGGGGATTCTCAGTGAACTGACTTAGCAGGATTCTTGCTAAAACTGGGCTAAGCAGTCAGATTACAGAGGGAGTGGGAATAGCCTAAAGTCAAGGCATAGTCAAGAAGAGGGCTCAGAAGATCCTTACTAACGTTTGGTCAAGGAGAGGGTCTTAGTATGTCCACACAGATTCATGTGCTTTCCTGAATTTTTGAAATATTTTATTTTTTAAAAATTCAAATAGAATTCTGGACATTAAGAACTTGCAAATTTTGACCACGTCAGAACTTCCCTCCACAACTGTTGGTTACTTACAAGCATCCCAAGCATTAACCTTTTTGTCTGTTGGAGGAAAAAAACCACTTTATATTTCTGTGGTAAGTCTTTAGATTTTTTTTTTTTCTTTTCTTTATAAAACCTTTCATTAGCGTTTTGGAACTAGAAAGAATCTAGTAGCTCACTTGGTTTAATCAATTTATTTTATGTATGAGGACTCAATCAAGGTAACTACCAAAAACCTTTTTACAGACATATTGAGAATTTGAACATATATGACAGCTTTAGAATTTTGGTATCTATATCAAAAGTCAGACTTTAAAAATTTACAGAAATAGTATTTAAAGCTTAAGTAGCAAACATTAATCATTTAATGTAAATTAGAATCGCAGCAACTCTAGTTTCAAAAATCAATGAGTTTAAAAGTTAGGATGTTAGAGGTGGCCCCTGTATATTGACTCCATATTACATTTTCATAGCAGGCTGGGACCGTTAGCCCAAAAGCTCACCTGCCCCATACTCAAATTTTTACACATACAGTTGTTTTAAATATAGCCAGGATAACCATATTTTTAGCCATTTAGAGCTGGCCTGCTCTGCATAGCCCAAGGAACTGCACCTCGCATCTGCTAGCCAAAGATAAGAAAAACCCTGGGGCTATAAAAGACCCCAAGCCTCTCTACTGCCCTTCCAAGTTCTCTGACCCAGAGATTCCCCATCTTGCAACAACACCTAGACAAGTAAGCCTCCTCTCTGTTTCCTTCTCCCCCTGGAATTCCCTTGCCTTCTTCCCCTTCTTGGTGGCAGCCACACAGCTGTCTCTGGAAGGTCACCGTGAGGAACTCCCCTTTGGCATGCAGCCTGTCACATGCCACCCAAATCAAGCTCGTTGCGTGCTACTGCCACCTTGTGTTTATGTCTTTGCTCAGCCCCAAAATCAACAAAAAAAAGCCTTATGATTGGGGAAAAATAGTCACAAAAAGCCATGCTGTCAAACACGAGTTAGAGAGGAACTTGGTCTTTCTATACATATTTCCTGTCAAGGAAGAAAAAAATTCTAGGATCCAAAAAGCTGGTGGAAGTCCAGGGAAAGCCTTTCCTGTAGATTTCCACAAAACAAACACGTGGGAGACTGAGCACACAGAGGCACAGAGATGTTAAATAATTTTCACAAATTTACTCAGCTGTGATTTGAACCCAAAGCCTGCACTTTTAATCCCTCTGCTACTGCCTCTCTTAAATTGCAGTAAGTCTCAAATAAGATAATGTCTGAAGTCAACAGTTCAGATCTCAATACCCTCCAGCCACCAAAAAAAAAAAAAAAAATGTATATAGATACCTAGAACATGCAAGTTCAATAAATATCAGTTTATTAAGATTCTAGGGGCTGGCCCGGTGGCGCACTGCTACAGTGCGCCGCTTGGGAGCGCAGCGGCGCTCCCGCCGAGGGTTCGGATCCCACATACAGACCGGTTCCCGCTCACTGGCTGAGCGAGGTGTGGGCGTGACACTGAGGGTTGCAATCCCGTCGCCGGTCCCGGTCCAGTACGGGCGCGACACTGAGGGTTGCGATCCGTTGCCAGACACGAAAAAAGACAAAAAGGGGAAAAAAAAAAAGATTCTAATGTCCATATTTGTGCCTTTTCTTATGCTCTTTCCTGAGTTGATATTTCATGTCTCATCATTCATAAAACAGTTCCAAGTCCTACTTCCTACATGAATCCTTTTTTTAACTAGGTTGATCTTTCCCATGTATAGATTCCTTTTGCTATCTAAAGGAGTGCAGTATTTGGCCCATGATTCTCTATCAATGGTTATGCCTTAGTACTTTATCAACAGTGGTATTTAAAAAGGAGGAAATCTGGGCCGGCCCGTGGCTCACTCGGTAGAGTGCGGTGCTGATAGCACCAAGGCCCCAGGTTCGGATCCCACATAGGGATGGCCGGTTCGCTCACTGGCTGAGCGTGGTGCTGTCAACACCAAGTCGAGGGTTAAGATCCCCTTACCGTTCATCTTTTAAAAAAAAAAAAAAAAAAAAGGAGGAAATCTGCTCTCACATCCCACCTCCACTTAACAGGGATTCATTCATTCATTTTTTAATAAGGGCCCGTTCTGTTAGGCTCTGTGCTAGATGCTAGACATATAATGGTGAACAAAACATGGTTCTTGTCCTCATGGAAATTTTGACATTTGAGTATGGCGTCAAACAAACAAATGTGTAAATATAAATTATGATAAGTGTTATGAAGTAAAAGAACAAAGGGTCCATTAGAGAGACAAAGGAATATAATTTAGATGGGGGAAGTCCGAAAAAGCCTCTGAAAAAGTAAAATCTAGGCTGAGACCTGAAGAATGAGTAGGTATTTGCCGGGGAAAGTAAATGAAAGAATATTCCAGTCAAAGACCCTGAAGAGCTTGTCATATTTAGAAACAAGAAAACCAAGGTGGCTGGGAGTTAGTGAGCAAAGGGAAGAGTAGCAGAAAATGAGGTGGAAGACTGCCAGGCCACGTCAGTCTGATAAGGAGCAGGTATATTGTGCAAGTTGAAAGAAATATTATTTGCATAGTACAAATTCTGGAAATTAGACCTTGCCTGGAACTTGATTAGAGAGGCATGTGGGTGGGCATAGTTTTAAAGTGACTGAGGAATACTGGCTGGCTGATACCCTTTGTTTCAAGGGTATTAGTGTTGCTTCTAAAATAGAGAATCCTGGGGCCGGCCCGTGGCTCACTCGGGAGAGTGCGGTGCTGATAACACCAAGGCCCCGGGTTCGGATCCCACATAGGGATGGCCGGTTCGCTCACTGGCTGAGCGTGGTGCTGACAACACCAAGTCAAGGGTTAAGATCCCCTTACCGGTCATCTTTTAAAAAAAAAAAATAAAATAAAATAAAATAGAGAATCCTTTAAACATCACATCTGATAGTGTTGCCTGGAATTTACTTAGTAAACATTCACATTGTCTACTATGATGTGCAAGACACCAAAAGGAGATGAAGATAGTTAAATAACATTACCTGAGACCGCAAAGGAACTTTATGACTAAAGGGTAGATGGAAGCTATAATGAGCATGGCCTAAGTATGAAATTAAGCCCACTGCAAAGTTCTGAATTATAACACATATTGTATATTGTAGGTTGAGGTTTAAAACATCTACCTAATTGTGGTGACAAGACCAGGTTTAATGGGGGATGGGGCTGGAAGCAATCAAAGAGATGAATGCATGTCAAGCATACAAAAACAGTGCCTGACATATGGTAAGCAAATGGGCTACAATTATTATATACAACTATTTATTTTTTCCAAAACAATTTCAATTTAACATTTAGGGAAATAACATATTTTAATAAATAAGTTGGTTATGTTAGCTATTACCAAAATGAGAAATGAACAAGAGTTTTACAGTGGAGATGGCAAAGTAAGTTTAAATATTAACTACAGTATGCAGTAAGAACCAGATAAAAATTAGATGTTGCAAAAATGGTGTCTACTATCTAAATATTTATACTATAGCTGAGTTACAAATCACCTAACCAGTATTACAATTAATTCAGCTTAGCACCCCAGGAGGACACTGGCTAGCATGTGGCTAGCCAGCTGAACCTTTTAGCAAAGCCAAGATCAGGTGCATCTCAAGGAAATAGTCTTCCAGCATCAGAATGAAGAGATGGATTCTCTCACCCCCTTGCTTGGTTGTCCCTAATCTTTCTCTTTAGAACTCTAACAGACATCTAGGACTGGTTTGGATGACTGGCCTTTGTCTGTCTTCCCCAGAATATTCCCTATTACAGTCTTCTGGCATTAAAGCCCTAATATCACTATAGGAAACAAAGGATAGAGAGTTATGAGTTGGACATGTTGAGTACCAGAAAACGAATGCAGAGTAGGAAATTTTGCTTCACTGACGATACAGAACAGATTTATTTACCAGAACAAGCCAAGGGTTGCTAACCAGTGTACTTTCTAAGTTCTAGAATTAATACCAAGGTGGAAGAATAAAACTAGGGGCTTCTCCTAATGGGGAGGGTTGGCCTGAGACTTCCTGAATGAATCAATAGTCAAATTAATAAATTTAGGGGATTATGTTATTTTTGTCTCAGACATCCCATAAAATCCCACAGATTAAAGCCAGGTGTACTCTACAAATGTTAATGAAGAAGCATCTTATAGGAAGGGATCTAAACTATAGTTAAATATTCAAGAGGTCTTAAGGAGGTATGGAAGGAGTCTGGAGTGACAAAACTATCCAAGATCATAGAAATAAAGACATTAAGAACAAGAGTAATTTTTGTTGCTTTATTAATTGTTCTTCACATAATCCTTTACAAAAACACCATGTCCCTACAAAGTCATTCAACAAATATTGAGACCTTCTATGTATAGGACACAGATCAAAAAGGCAGAGAAATCCATGTTCCTAGTTCTTAATTCAATTCCAAAATATTTATAATTCTAAAAGGTAAATTCAAATATCTTAAATTTTACTTCAGTTACTTCAATAACGCTGAAATTTCAATTGGGTATTGTGTTTGTAGTGCTCACCCTATTTTTTTTTCACAATAGTAAAAGCCTATCATTCCCTTGGTACCTAAAATATATCTGTTCATGTTTTAAATATATATTTATATAAATATATTTGTATAAAACAAAATTTTCAGAGTTGTAGATAAAAAAAATTGAAGGAAACCAAATCAGTATAAGAATTAGAATTATATACATTTAATCCACTAATTCTTTAAATTTAGACAGAGTTTTGGATCTTCTTCATGAAAGAAATGTGCGAACTGTACCCTTGATTGTACCCCTACAAATAGGACATTTTCTTAGAGAAGGGGCACAATCTCTGCATACTACTAGATGACCACAAGGAATAAACACTATGGACACTTCTTTGTCCATACACACTTTACATGTTCTTTCTTCTTGTAGTCTCCGCAATTGTTCTTCCATTGGTAAATCTAAGAAGAGAAAAAAATTTGTAATAAAGGACAGTTTGCTTCTCCTCCAATGAAAAACCAAGAAAATAAAAACAGTGCTTTCTACTGGTTTAAAGTGCCAGTCTTATTACCTGAAACATCTTCTGTGGGAATATACTTTACATCCTGTTGCACTAAGGGAGAAAAAGAAAAGGCATTACTATGAAAAATAAGGTTAATATTTAGCCACAGAATATATTTTTAAATGAACATTTAGACTTTGGCCAAGTACTCATAATGTCGAGGCAACAAAAGTCTTTAATCTTTTTGTGCAATTAATATTTATAAATTAGATTGAATTATTTTCAATAATCACAAATTATTAATAAGAGCATATTTTTAATTGACCTAGAAAGTTCTCAAAAATAATTTTTTAACACTCACCAAATAAATGCTTGTATAACATTGGCTCATTTTCTTGTAGAGTGTTTTTGAATATGGTGGCTGCAATATTTCCTTTTGCTAAAATAGTATCAATCAGTTCTCTTGCTTGTAAAGATGTCTGTGTTTTCTGTTTAATAACATCATGTTCTTGTTCATTAATCACTCTGGCAGTTAGTAGACTATCCAGGATTGGAATCACACAAGTCAAATGCTGGAAAAGTGCCATTCTATTCTTCTGGATTAATGATAGATCATCTTTATAAAAAAGAAAACCAACATGAACATGTTCAAACTCTGCTCACAAACTTCTTAACACATCTGCATATATAACTGAATGAAAACCATCTTAATTCATAATCAGTAAGTCACTGATATTATTTGCTAGGTTTGGGGGTATATGCTAAGAATAATAATAATTATTATATTATTATATAATATATGCTAATTATAGTAAGACTAACACTGAGCACTGTGTTAAGCACTTTACATGTACTAACTCATTTCATCTTCACAGTAGCCCTTTGAGGTGAGTAATACATTTAACAGATGAGAAAAAGGAGCCATAGTGAAGCAAATAAGTTGCCAGAGGATGCACAACTAACAGAAGTCAAACTGAGGCAGTCTGGCATCATGATCTATACTTTGTACCATTCTGCAATACTGCTAAGTCTTTAACCAAATTAAATTTAGAATCTAATCAAACTGAAATTTCAGTTCAATCTTGTCAAGTTGCAGAAAGGTAAAATCAAGAGAATTAGAAGCCTTTTTCTTAAATTATAATTCTTCCATAAAATTTATTAAAAATTCCATTTTAAGTTGAAATTTTAATTATTTCCCCAAGTTAGATATATTGCCATTAAATAAATATTTTATAGTAAGGGGGAAAAATCACTAACAGCATTTTGAAAAGTAGACCCTATTTGTCAATAACTACCTTCTTGTCCTATAGGATCAACTTATTCTCCTTCAAGATCTAGATTTTGTATCTATTTGTAAACATTTTTTATATTTGAAACTGCAATTTTACCTCTTTGTAATGTGACTGATGAGTCTAAGTTAATTGATTATCATATAGTATATCATTATGCATACAGCTATTTCTATAAAGTAACTAAGGACAGAAGGTGGGCTGTCTGAAGAATTATTTTAGGAGAGGTGACTGTTAAATTTTAGATGCAAAGATTTTGTCAAGTAACAGAACACATAAATAGAACCAACTAATATATAATAATAAATTATCCTTAGTCAAAAAATCAAGGCTAGAGATACACATTTTGAAGACAATTGAAGCTCTGAGAATAAATGAGAAAAAGACCACGACCTAGATAGTGCCTGCCACAAAGTCAACACTCTATTAATATCTCTTGAACAAATGAAAAACCAAGCCTTGGTTATTTAAAGAGTAGGAATAAAAAAGTAATAGAGGTGTAGAAGAATTAGAACTTGATATATTCTGTTAAAATATCTACATTAGAAAAACAGGAAAAAGATGGCCTGCCTTCCAGTCCCCAGCATCACTCTCTCCCACAAACCAACCAATTTACAACTATTACAAAGCAACAGCAGCCAAGCCGTGGCTGCTAGAGCTCAGGGGAAGAGGAGGAGAGACCTACAGGGTTCATGAAGGTAGGAGAAGCCATGATGAGAGAAAGAAAGGACCACTCCCACCATTTTGAGCCCCAGCCGCTTCAAGCCTGGAGCTGGTGAGCACATGGAGCAAGAGGTGGCAAAAGCCTCAGCTGTGCCCTTTGTATTATGTTGCTTGGAGGCGGCAGGGGAGAAGAGGGCCTTGGTGGCCCCCAGGCCAGTAAGACAACTAACAGGGCTCCAGTGGACCCACATGGAGCAAGGAGCCACAGACAACAGAGAAAAGGAGTCACTCAGATCCTAGCGAATCATGGTAAGGGACCAGTGTAGACTCTGTCCCATGGGAAGTGTTTGGAGTGCAGGCAGTGGGGAAGACAGGCACACTGGGGGAACACTGGGGGGCAGCACAGATAGCTGATCTGCCCCCCAATCAGTGCAGGACCACTTAGTGGAGACTAGTCAGGACTACAGATCTGCAGGGGGTGCAGTTTGCTGAAAAGACTCAGGCCTAGACCAAAGTTTCCACACAACCCAGGTGTACCAGACCTCACAAGACCTGGAAGTGCTTACAAGGTCAACAATTAAAACCTGAGGGGCACAAAAAGCCTTCCCCAGGGAATCAGCAGCAATGAAGCAATTTAGCTCAACTACAAGGCTCAAGTGCTGTCCCTACAGGAAGTTCCTCCATTTTAGAAGTAAGCAAAGGATAACAAATTAGTTCCAGTGCAGAGTTTAAGTGGTGGGAACGGTGAATAATCCAACACAGAACTGAAAGAAATGACAAAATACCAACAGATCAGAGGCAAAGTCTGGTATTAACTAGTAAAGGTCTAACACCACCAAAGGACACCTATAAAACCTAGAAGGACCAGAAGTCCCCGGGCTCCAAAGCTGAGGGGGGAAGGGGAAAAGGGCTAAGGGCCTCAGCCATGCCCCCCCGACATCTGCAACCAACTTAGTGATGAACACTGAGCCACCACCTGTAGCACCCTGAGCTCCTGAGCTGGGGCAGCGGGAGTGCCACAAGCCTAAACCACCCCCCCCCCAACATCCACAACCAGCCCAGTGACAACCACCGAGCCACCACAGGAAGGATCCTGGGCTCCTGAGGTGGGGTGGTGGGGGATCGAGGGCTTCAGCCACACCCCCCTGACATCTGCATCCAGCCCAGCAACAACTGAGCTGCCACTAGAAGCCCCTTGGTCTCCCCTGCTGGAATGAAGGGGGTGCCATGGGCCTCTATTATGCCCCATCTCCTTCTTCCTCTTCCCACCCTATTTTCCTCCCTGTTCCCCTCTTCCCCTCCCCCCCCCAACTGCTCTGCCACAACATCTTAGAATGAGGCATGGAGCCAGGGGAAGCCAGACCCAGCTGCAACTAGGCAAGCTGCTGCCACTGACCTGAGGCCTTGCTGGGGTTCTGAGGTATGGAGCCAGGGGAAGCCGAACCCAGCCACAACAAAATAAAGAGCACACCAAAAACACTATTTTCACATGGGTAGCCCACCATAGCCACCCAATTGCCATGGCTGCTGCAAAAGTGGCTACTCTCTATAGCAGCAGTCACAGCCACTGGGCAGACAGCACACCAGACTGTCAACTGCACTGACACAAGGAGAGGCACCAGCAGAGACCAACGGGGGGAAAAAAAAAGGTTCTCTCTCTCCACAAAACACACTCCAGAGTAATAGTAGAAGCATCGGATTTATGATAATAGGGGAGGACTTGATCACACCTGTCTCAGTACTGGACACATCATCTAGGCAACAAGCCAACAGAGGAAGTTAATCTGTCAGATGGAGAGAACAAATCTGTGGCTATTAGAGGAGGGGGGAGAAGGGGGATTGGATAAGGGGCATAAAGAATAAGTATGATTTGTGACCATATGTTAATAAAAAATAAAGAAAAAGTGATACATCAGAAAATAAAAATATCATTTACACTTGGTGTTGAAGTATATAGTTTTTCAATCTAAGATTTATTTTTCTAATTATGTTTTACTAAACCTAATATAGTAAATTCTCTGAAGTTCTTAATATTTCTAAAAGTTGATTGCTAGTAGCTAGGAAAAGTCTCCTTTTAAAATATAGACTGTATTCTGGCTTATGAGTTCTAAAGACTTGAATATAGCTTTGAAGCATATTACTATTCTGGAAAAAATGACCTAAATTGACTATTTACAGACCTGTGAAGAAGGTCTGTAATTCATAAAATCTCCTGCTGTTCCTGGAAAACTATAAAGTAATCATTAATCTAGATGTAATTATTCTCATTCACTCATTCAAAAAATATTTCTTGAGGCCGGCCCATGGCTCACTCGGTAGAGTGCGGTGCTGATAACACCAAGGCCACGGGTTCGGATCCTATATAGGGATGGCCGGTTTGCTCACTAGCTGAGCGTGGTGCTGACAACACCAAGCCAAGGGTTGAGATCCCCTTACCGGTCATCTTTATAAAAAA